CATATACAGTTGGAGGACATTCACTAAATGGACTTGATCTGACTATACACAGGCCAGTTAGTGTATAGCCTCCCAAAATATAGCTTCAGTTTAGGATACATTTCTATAATGTTTTATATCTGGGATTGATAGTGTAAAGTTCTAATTACAAGTGAGATTAAATCATTTCCCCACTGTTGTTGTCTCAGGAAACTAATCGCAGGTGAACTCAGATCTTTGATGTCTCAGCTTGTGAAGCTGCTGAACTGCAACAGCAATCAAAATGATTTTCATTGTCTCTGCACCAAACACTGGTGTCATGGTGGAAGTGTACACCAAGCTAATTCTAACTCACTTGAGTCGTGCCTCCTTTAATTCTGTTCTTCTTTCCATGCCTGCCTGTGCTTTTAGTTCTGAGCCAAACAGCTTTCATGTCTATCAATTATTTAGCTCCCATTACCTTTTGGGAACTCCAGATAAATTATGATGATGAATGTAATCAAGAGATAGACAAAAAATCTAATTAATTCATTTTTTTCTTTAATAAAATATGTATTTTGATGGAACTTGAGGAAAAATGGTCTGGAATATGAGACGGAATCAAACAGGAAGAAGTTTTTAGAGATCAAAATACATATTTTCAAAAGAAAATTAATATTTGTGTGCTGTTAATTTCCTCTTCCAACCTTATTCTCTATTGCACATATCAATTTTTAAAGTCTGATAAGTAGCTCAACACACAGCCCTGAACAAAAACACTGTTTTTGCCTCTCATTGAACTTTAATAAGGCGGCTAAAGGACGAGGCCTTAATGGACAACATGGATCATACTGAGACACTAAATAACCTTTTAGACCACGGCCCCGCGTCCTTTCTCCCAGGCATTACTGCAGTGTGTAATACATGAATCACACAAATGTTTTCTACTCAGTGAAAGGAGTATATAGAATTGAGGAGTTTAGAGCCATTAGTGCGTCATATCATACTGTTCAGATTTTGTGATTCGAAGAAAAGAAGATGGAAATGTTTATGTCTGAAAGCATGGCTGTGTAACGCCCAGAAACAGTTATCTCCCAGAGAAGAGTGCGTACGGATGGCAAAGAAAACAAACCTTATAAGGTGTAATCATGTGAATCTGGAATCACATGAATCTGGAATCAAAAATCTCAGCCTTTGTTTTGCTTACGTAAAGTGTAAGGCCTCCATACAGTAACAGTGACATGCACTGTACATTTACAGCAAAGGATGAAAACCATATTCACGTTTCTCGGACTATTGTGTGGTATTTTGCATAATTTTGGCTACTTCTTAAGATCACTTTAAGCCAGTAAGCCTATTAAGATTATT